CTGTCAAATAAATATTTTTTAAAAATAATAAATCAAAAATAAAAATATATAAATTTAAAAAATAAAATACACATTGGTTCTCGAAGCTATAGTCCAAAAGAGGGTGTAAAATACCTCATTAATTTTATATTGATTATATGTTGAAATGATAATATTTTTTATATATTGGGTTAAATAAAATACATCATTAAAATTAATTTCACTTCTTTTTACTTTTTTACTGTGACTACTCGAAAATTGCCAGTTCCCTGCGTGGCTTGTGTTTTATTCCTGCTGCATGTGCTGCCGCAGCCCCTCCCCGGCCTCTGTCTGTTCCTGGACCGCACCAGGCTCTTCCCAGCCTCAGGCAGGCAGGGCCTATGACTCCCCGCTGCTCTCAGTGCCCCCCAGAGCTGCAATCTTTTTCATGTTTGCTGTCTGTCTTCCCCAGGTCTCCCAGGGTCCTTGGTCCAGCACCTGACGCTGGGCTGGCCAGGAAAATCCTGCGGTCAGTCAGATGCCTTGGGGAGGGAAGGATGGGAACAGGCCCACGTTCCTCAGCCTGGAGCCGTGGGAGTGGTCTTCAGCCAGAGGCCTCCACACGCTGCGAGCCAGGGTTTAGCTGGAGCAGGTGATCAGCGTCCTCAGCGGCTCTGAGCAGAACACACATGGGCTATAAGAGAGGGGCTTTGGGCTTTGGGTTTTTCGTGGGGGTTTTGGGAACCTGCTGTGTCAGTGAGACCAGGGGTGTGAAGCCTCCCCAGGCTTCATCACAAGAACTCATTTGGCATGGAGCCTGGGTGGCTCAGATGGTGGAGTGTCTGCCTTCGGCTCAGGTCATGATCTCTGGGTTCTGGGATCAAGCCCCACGTCAGGCTCCTGGCTCAGCCGTGGGTGGGGGGGAGTCTGCTTCTTCCTCTCCCTCTGCCTCTCCTCCTGCTCATGCTCTCTCTCTCTGTATCTCTCTGTCTCAAATGAATAAATTAAAAAAAACTTAAAAAAAAAAAACTCATGTGGCACCTGGGTCAGTGGCCATGTGTGCCAGGCCCTTGGGAAGTGTCAGTGTAGCCGAGGTGGGTTTGGGCTTTGCTGGGGCACCCCAGGGTCCCTTGCATCCTGGCTGCTTACCATACGATGACCTTCGGAGGTCACTCAGTTCCCCGCTAAGTGGAGATTGGCTCCCTGCCTAGAGCCTGTGAGGACCAGAGGGCGGGCTCTGTGTCCAGCGCCAGTGAGGTACAGCATGGGGCCACATGGGTTTTCAGCCACCTGAACATCCTTGTGACCAGCTCCCTCTTCATGCCAGACACTGGCCACAGTGGGGATGGAAATAACTCATGGCCTCAGCTCCTGAGCAGGGGCCCCCTGCTACAGGAGGACCACCAAGCCATCACCTCATGCTGTTTTCCCCCTGAGGACCCTGACTTTGGCAGCATCTGGAAGAGGAAGAGATAGCACCATTTCTGTGAAAAGGGCCTGTGGGTTTTAAGTGACCGAAAGCTCAGAGTGAGCCAACGGGTGACCTGATTGCTAAAATAGCCCAGGAGGGGGGCGGAAGCTTCCAGGGCAGGGAGGGGGCGGCTAGGATCTCAGCTGGAAGGAAGTGAGGGCACCATTCTTGGAACCTGCCCAAATCCACAGCTCCAGAGAGCAGGGAGGCCCTTCTCTGAAAACTCTGCGTCAGTCCAGCCCCTGTGGGTGAGAATGGGGTGGTGCAGGAGGAGACACGGCAGAAGGCGGAGCTGAGTGGTTCCCGGAGCACAGTAACCCAGGAGGGTGAATGAACACAGGCCAGCACCCCTGGGCTTCACCCCTCAGGTTAGAAGAAACCCCGAGCCTGGAGGTCAGAAGGGCCAGGCGCTCCAGTCCCATGCGGGGAAGCCGAGAGCCTGCCTGAGCCCACGGTGGGAGGATGACAAAGGTCAGCTCTCCTCCAGCCTTCCTGCTGCACTCAGCAGCTCTGCAAGAAATGCAAGGAACAAAGACGATGACTTCCCTCATATAGCAGATAATGAGTGTTTTGATTCTCAGCCCCGGAGAGCACCAAATCCCAGTGTCCCTGGCCAGGAAATTTATAGCTTGCCATTGACCCTTCTGAAGGGCCCAGGCAGGGCAGTGTCCCCTTGCTGGTTCCTCCACGGGCAGAGATGGCCGGTGAATCCCATGACCTCTGTGCTGGCTGTCCTCAGCGCCAGTGGCCTGGCCAGGGTCCCTCAGCTGTGGCCGGTGCTGGACTGGTCAGTGAGGACAGAGCCCAGAGGCCACCCAGCTCTGTGTGGAGGGTGGGTGGAGGTAGAGGGGATGAGCCTGGACAAGGGCAACCTGTCCTCTGCCTTTCTGTTTTATGTCTAATTAGAAAAGCGATTCATACTCATTGTGAAATTTGGAAACTACAAAAAGGTGCAAAGGAGAAAATGAAAGTCATCTGTCATCTCGCTGCCCAGAGATTACTGTCATTGCTATTTTGTCATATTTCTCTCCAGTCCTGTTCTTCTGTATGGATCATACATATGCATATAAGTATATATTTTAATTGTCATAATACTCTAGAGCTGGCTTCCCCTCCCCCCACCTTACATTATATGGTGACTATTTTCTCACCATGTTAAAATTTTCTTTAAAGTTATTTAATGGCTTTATAATATTGTCTTAATAATTTATTTATCCATTCTCCAATTTTTTTTTTTTCATTCTCCTAGTTTGACTCTCTTTTTTTACCAAGGGGATTTGGCAGTTTTTAAAATTCCACTTAGCAGCACCTGGGTGGCACAGTCGGTTGAGTGTCTGACTCTTGGTTTCTGCTCAGGTCATGATCTCAGGGTCGTGAGATCAAGCCCTGCATCGGGCTCTGTGCTGGGCGTGAAACCTGCTTAAGATTCTCTCTCTCCTTCTGCCCCTCCCTGCCTGCGCTTGCACGCTCTCTCAGCTCTCTCGTGCTTTCTCTCTCTCTCTTTCTCTCTCTCTCAGAAAAACCCCCGAATATTTAAAATTCCACTTAAAAATATAAATCCAGGTTTTTGGCTGCTGAGATGGAGCAGTTCCGGGGGATCCTCTCTGTCATTCACACTGAGAGGGGCCCCTCATTTGAACAGCTCAGGTGACAGCAAAAGTCTGGCATTTGGAAACACAAACACAAAAACAAAACCAAGCAGGGGGGCTTAGGAAAGGAGCTTCCCTCTGTGTCCGCAGCTCATGCAGTGCCCCCATTGGAGAGCCATCCAGCATTACCAGCATGGCTGTAAATGTGCCCATCCTTGTGGGTGGCAGCCTGGCGTGTGAGCTGGTGAAGAAGACAGACAGTCCCTGGTTCAAATTTTGCCTGTGCCATGAGCTGGTGTGATCTTGGGTGATCCTTCCACTGCTCCGTTTCTCCGCTTTCCTAGGCTATGAAATGGACCTGATGCTGGAGCGGCTGGGACCGAATGCCATAACACTGCCTCTGAGCCAGGATTGCTGTCAGGGGGAGCAGAGGAACAAAGGTGTGGTAGGCCTGGGTGGCCTTGGCCAAGTGGCCTCCACTCGGTGAGAGTCATTGTGTCCCCAGCCCCGGGAGTTTGTGGTTACACCCTGAATGGGTGGCCCTTGTTGGCCTTCCAGTTGTCCAGAGTGGATGACTGCAGACCCCTCTGAACAGCTCTGGCCTGCCCAGGGCCTTGATTTTGTTCCTAGGGAAGGCACTAGTTGGGTTTCCCTGCCCTTTCTGGATCCCTGCTCAGCAGCCCAGAACCAGGCCCAAGGAGGACTCTGGAGAACCCCTAGAGAAATTTCCCATTGTGTTCAGGGCTCAAGGATCATGCAGGCAGGGTTTCTGGAGGTTTGGGGCTGGATACGACCAGAATTTATGCTTCGGGAGGGGAGGAGCCTTGTGCTTCTCATTTATGTGCTGCCCTCAGTTCCCAGCACTGGCCGTGGCCCACAGTAGGCCCTCAGTAAATATTAGTACACCCAGGCAGGTGGTGGCCTCTTCCTGCCTCAGTTTCCCTTTCTGTTCTGCTAGGCCATGAGCTCTTTGAGAGCACAGATGGGCCTGGTTTACCTGAGTCCTCAGTGCCCAGCAAAGACACTGGCATGTGGAGAGGGTCCATGAATGCATAAGCAGAGAACAAGTGGATTGATGAATAAGTTATGTCCAGAGAGTCAGGGCTCAGGAGGTGGGCCCTCCCTTCTGCCCACCTCCCCTCCATAGTGGGTCCTTTCCCTCCCTCTGAAGGGTACTGGATGATCCCTTCCTCTGTCCTTCCTTGGTTGAAGTTGGCCACCAGGAACCTCTGAGACATCCTGGCTGTGTGACTTTGGACAAGTCACTCTACCTCTCTGAACCCCATTGCCTCTTCTGTAAAGTGAGGCAGATATGATGTACTGAAAGGGCTTTGTGAGGCTTGGTGCCAGATTGCATAGCCTAGCTGGTGCCTGGCAGGTGGTGGGGACCCGAAGAAGCAGCCACTCACATTGCTAGTGGCCCGGCCCTCTGTCCGTGATGAGCTTTCCGCCATGAGCTGGCTGACCACCTGACTATTGGAGGGGCCTGGGATAATCTTGGGCTGGGGCTACCTGAGGAGGCCACGGAAGGTTACAGATCCCCTGAGGCCCCGGCAGCTGTCCCTGGCATTTTGCCCTTGGCTCTGTCATTCAGTGTCCTTTTCCCTGCTAGGAAGGCACACACTCTAGCTGGGGGGGCTCTGCTGGGAGGCAGGCCCGCTGCTCTGGAGAGCTGCTCTCTGGAGAGCTGCACACTCCCAAGGTTGTAGTGCAGTAACTAGTAACTTTACCAGGAGCCAGTCCACGGAGGGGGGAACATGCCCATGGCCTCTCGCAGCTGGGAGGGGCCACCTGGTGGAACTGCTGAGTGTCTCTGGCTCCACTCCTGACCCTGCCACATAGTCGCTGTGGGACATGGACAGGTGACTTCCCTGTCTCAGCCTCAGCGTCCTTATCCGCAAAATGAGGGCAGCCACCCTCCTGGATTCCTGGGAGAAGCCCCTGAGGCTGTGCATGCGAAGTCCAGCTTCAGCTGCAGTGCGTGCCCCAGGCACCTGGGCTTCCCAGCACCCGGACGCAGTCACCTAGGCTCCCTGGACCTCAGTGTGCCCATCTGTACTCTGAAGATGATCACACCCATGGCTTCAGGTCATCGGGATGGTTCCATAAACCAACCACGTAACCCACCTAGCAAGTAGTGCTCCTTAGCTCATTATCATGGGGTTTTGTGCTGTAGTAGCAAAGCTAGCCAGGATGAGACCCTGCCCCTTGCCCAGGGCTTCTCCCTCTGGCCTGCCCTGGGAGGCTTGTGTGGACGGGAGACAGTGACCTGCATCAGGTTTGCCAGGCCAGAACCACATTCCCAGTGTCTGGAGCACGGGGTGCGACCACTGAGTCTCAGAAGCTGCCGTGGAGGCTGGGCCTTGGGGATTTGGCTAAAGCCTGGGGGGCTGAGCGGACGATGAATCTTGGACTTGTCCTGAATGTGGCCCTGTGCCATCTCCCCGTGCCTCAGGGTCCACCATCCTGCCCAAACAATGTCAGAGCTCCAAGGGGATGCCCCAAAACAGACACATAGCTTGTTTTTTTTCTGGCTGTAAAAGCATTTCTTGTTCACTGCAGAAAAAAAAGCAAAAATTCAGAAATATATCAATTAAGAACACCCCAAATCCCAAACTTCCAGGGGCTTTTGTGCATATACACATATAGATATCAATTGTTTTCACAAGAATGGAATCTTATGATACTTGCTTTAAAAATTGAAATGAGTAAACTTGATTTTTAACTTTTTTGTTAACAAAATATGACACAGAAAGACCATATAAAATAATTGTTCATTTGGATCCACTGCCCAGTGAAGAACTCTGCCAGCCATCCTAGCCTGCGGTGGGCCCCCTCCCCCAAACTCCTCACAAAAAGTTACCGTGTTCCTGACTTTTTTCTTTTTAAAATAATCTCTACTCCCAACATGGGGCTTGAGCTCATGACCCTGAGATCAAGAGTCACATGCTCTACCGACTGAGCCAGCCAGGTGCCCCCCCTTTTTTTCTTTTTTTAAAGTAAGCTCTATGCCCAACATGGGGCTTGAACTCAGGACCCAGAGATCAAGAATCATAGTCCACCAACTGAGCCAGTCAGGCGCCCCACTGTTGCGGTGACTTTTAAGGTCTTCACTTTCTTGCTAGTTATCACCCAGTGTGAATCCCTAGATACTATAATTTTGTCTTAAAAAATCTGTCTTTTAAGTCCCTTTTAATCTATAGATTTATTTTTTTAACTTTTTTTTTTTTTAACTTGGCAGTGTATCATAGGCCTTGTCCATGTTAGTAAATGTGACTCTCATTTTTAATCTTTTTTTAATGATTCCGTGGTTCCATCCCAGGGTTGAACATAACTGACTGGTTCCCCTACTGATGGGCACTTAGGTTATTCTCACACTTTTGCTATTATAAACAATACTGTGATGGAAATCTTTATACATATGTTTTTATGCACTTGAGTAATTCCTAGAAGAAATTTCTAGAAGTAGAGTCATGGATCCAAAGAACAGTATTTTTTAAATTAATTAATTAAATTTTTTTTTTAAGATTTTATTTATTTATTTGACAGAGACCGATAACGAGAGCAGGAACACAAGCAGGGGGAGTGGGAGAGGGAGAAGCAGGCTTCCAGCTGAGCAGCGAGACCGATGTGGGGCTCGATCCCAGGACCCTTTATTCTTAAAAATTTTATTTATTTGAGTGAGAAAGAGCATGGGGGGGGTGCAGGGGGGAGGGGCAGAGGGAGAGGAGAAGCAGACTTCCTGCTCAGCAGGAAGCCCAACAACAGGGGCAGGGGGCTTAATCCCAGGACCCTGAGATTAGGGCCTGAGCCAAAGGCAGACCCTTTTATTTATTTATTTATTTTAAGATTTTATTTATTTATTTGACAGAGAGAGACAGCGAAAGAGGGAACACAAGCAAGGGCGAGTGGGAGAGGGAGAAGCAGGCTTCCCGCTGAGCATGGGAGCCCGATGCGGGGCTCGATGCGGGGCTCAATCCCAGGACCCTGGGATCATGACCTGAGCCAAAGGCAGACGCTCAATGACTGAGCCACCCAGGCGCCCCATTTTTTTTTAAACAGCTTTATTGAGATATGACTCACTTGCCATACAATTCACCCATTTAAAGCATACAATTCATTAGTTTTTAGTATAGTCAGAGTTGTGCGATCATCACCACAATCAATTTTAGGACATTTTCAGCATCCCATAAAGAACCCCACACCCATCTCTCCCCAGTGGCCTCCTCCCAGCTCTAGGCAACCACTGCTATAAAAGAGTCTGTTTTCTGTCTGTATAGGTTTGCCCATTATGGACTTTTCATATAAATGAAATCATACAATGTGTGGTCTCTTCTGACTGACTTCTCTCACTTAGCATATGTTTTCAGGGTTTATCCATGTCACAGATTGTATCAGTATTTAATTCCGTTTTTATTTGAGAGAAAGAGAGAAAGCATGAGCAGGGGGTGGAGGGAGAGGGAGAAGTAGACTCCCTGCTGAGCAAGGAGCCAGAGGATTTGGGACTCCATCCCAGGACCCCGGGATCACGACCTGAGCCGAAGGCAGACACTTAACTGACTGAGCCACCCAGGCGCCCCAGTATTTAATTCCTTTTTGTTGCTGAATAATATTTCTGTGTGTAGATAGACCGCATTTTATTTATCCATTCATCAGTTGATGGGCATTTGGGTTGTTTCTACTTTCTTGGCTATTATGAATAATGCATCTGTGAACATTCATGTAAATTTTGGGGTAAACATATGTTTTAATTTCTCTTGGATCTATGCCTCCCAGGTATGGAACTGCTGGGTCACATGGTAATTCTATTTAATCTTTTGAGGAACTCCCAGACTGTTTTTCAAGGTGGCTGCTCTATTTACATTCCTACCAGTAGTGTGGGAGGGTTCTGACTTCTCCACATCCTTGCCAACACTGTCTTTTTTGATGATAGCAAACCTAGTGTGTGCAAAGTAGCATCTCATGGTTTTGATTTACATTTCCCTGATGGCTAGTGATTTGGGGCATCTTTTCATGAGCTTATGGACCATATGTATATCTCCTTTGGGTCAATGTTTATTCAGATCATTTGCCCATTTTTAAATTTGGTTATTTGTCTTTTATCATTGAGTTGTAAGAGTTCTTTATATATTCTGGTTACAGTTCCTTATTAGATATATGGTTTGCAAATATTTTCTCCCATTACTTTCTTTCTTTCTTTCTTTTTTTTTTTTAGGTCTTATTTTAAGTACCCTCTACACCCAAAATGGGGCTCAAACTCACAACCCCAAGATCAAGAGTCACACGGTCCACCTACTGAGGCCGCCAGGCACCCTGTCTTTTCACTTTCTTTTTTTTTTTTTTTTTTTTAAAGATTTTATTTATTTATTTGAGAATGAGATAGAGAGAGAGCGCGCATGAGAGGGGGGAGGGTCAGAGGGAGAAGCAGACTCCCTGCCGAGCAGGGAGCCCGATGCGGGACTCGATCCCGGGACTCCAGGATCATGACCTGAGCCGAAGGCAGTCGCTTAACCAACTGAGCCACCCAGGCGCCCGTCTTTTCACTTTCTTAACAATGTCCTTTGTAACACAGAATTTTGTTATTTTGATGATGTCCAATTTGCCTGGTTGGTTTTTTTTTTTTTTTTTTTTTTGGTCTTTTCTATGCTTTTGTGTCTTATTGTTGACTGATCCAAGTCATGAAAATTTAGGCCTATGCTTTCTTCTAAGGGTCTTATGGTTTTAATGCTTATATTTGGGTCTACAATCCGTTTTGAGTTAATTTTTTGTGTGGGGTGTGAGGAAGGTGCCCAGCCTCCTTTTTTTTGCACGTCGGTATCTAATTGCCTCAACACCATGTGTTGAAAAGCCTGTCCTTTCCCCGCTGAACTGTCTGGGCACTCTTGTTGAAGATCAATTGACTGTAAGTGTGAGGGCTTATTTTTGGACTCGGATTCCATTCCATTAATCTATATGCCTATCCCTATGCCAGTCCCACACTGTTTTACTACTGTAACTTTGTAGAAAGCTTTCTCTGGGCCCTCCAACAATGTTCTTCTTTTTTGAATATTGTTTTGGCTGTTTGGGGTCACTTGAGTTTCCATAAGAATTTTAAGATCAGCTTGTCAGTTTCTGCAAAGAAGCAAGTTGGAATTTTGATGGGGATGGTGTTGAATCTGAAGACCAATTTAGGGAGTCTTGCTATCTTAATAATATTGGGTTTTCAGAGATGTTTTTCCATGTGTTTAGGGCTTCTTTAATTTCTTCCAACAATATGTTGTGATTTTTAGGGTATAAATTTTATGCTTCTTTTGTTAAATTATTTGTAAGTGTTTTATCCTCTTTGATTGCAGGGTAAACAAAATTAGTTGCTTAATTACATTTTTGAAGTGTTCATTGCAAAGTACACAGAGAAACAATTGACTTTTGTATATTCATCTTGTATCCTGCATCCTCGCTGAACTCATTTATTAGTTCTAACTTTTTGTGCCTGGATTCTTTAGGATTTTCTATTTACAAGATCATGCCATCTGAAAATAGAGATAGTTGTACTTCTTTCTTTGCAATCTGGATGCTTTTTTTTTTTTTTCCTTGTCTGAGTGCCCTGGCTGGAACTTCCAGTACAATGTTGAATAGAAGTGGCAAGAGTGGACATAATTATCTTGTTCCTGATCTCAGGGGGAAAGCACCCAGTCTTTCACCATTAGTATGATACCCAATACTCACTGTAGGAAGGTTCATTTTAGGATTTCCTGAAAGGCTGGCTGGTTCTAGCCTCACTATTAGCAGTGTATGAGAGGGACCCCAGTCCCCATGGCCCTTGGCAGTAGCTCCAGGCTTTAGAAGTGAGGAACCCAAGGCCAGAGAGGAGAAGTGCTATGTACCCCATCACATAGCTGCTCAGCTGCCTACCATCCAGTTGTCTATGGTCACTGGGGAGTGAGCCTCCTGGACACTCAGTCTTCCCTCCCCTGGTGGGGGTGCTTTGAGACCCACCAAGAGCAGCCACTGGTGCAGAAGGAGGTCTGGGTTCTGTTCTGGGCTTGGCTACTGACTTGGGCAGGTTACTTGCATGACCTTGGGCATGTAACTCCCTTCTCCATCCCCCATAGTCCCAGGCCTTGGTTTTCCTATCTGTGCAGTGGGAGAGGCGGTCCACTCTGATGTTTCCAAGTCTGACCACCCACCCTTAAACCCTGGGGCAGCGTCTGCCACTGCCCCATGTGGCCACCAGAGGGCGCCCCAGACCAGCATTTGGCCCAGCTAGCGCGCAGGGGGCCCTGGGGAGGCTGAGGCCAGGTGTGTTTTTAAGAAGCTGCTAGCTTTGCTTGCACAGGCTTCCTTGTGGCTAGACCTGCCTGGGCCCTTTGCCCCGTTCCTCTGGCTGAGTCCTGATCTCTGAGGAGGGGAGATGGAGACATCAACCCCAAGACCAGTGACCTTGCACTCATTCTTGCCTGCTTTGGGTTGGCTGTCTAAGGTCCAGGTGTCCTGATTTGGGTTGGCTGTCTAAGGTCCAGGTGTCCAGCATCAGGGCCAAAGGCCTTGACTTTCTCAGCCTGGAAAGGTTTCTACTGTCTCTGGGCCCCTTATGGGCACTGCATCCTTCCCCTGCTGCATTGCATGGCAGTGACTGGTGAGTGACTGGCCACCTGGATGGGACCCATTACAGCCCCTTTAGGACGTGGATGGATTCTTGCTGTGGGTCCTGGACAGTGTAGTGTCTGAAACCACACCATCTGGGGCTGCCAGATACCTCAAGTGACAGACCCCAAACCTCAGAAGCAGGCACCATAGGCACTTCCCAGAGCAGAGTATCTGACCCCCTCTGTGAAGGCTTCTCCTGGGAGCACCAGAGGGGGCCCTGTCAGCCTTTCCAGGCTCCCCCAATGCTGATTTTACCCTCCCAATAGAAGCACAACCTTAGCTTTCAAATCGAGCTCCAAGTCAAAGCAGCAACTCTCAGCCCCTCGCATGGAGGGCACTGGAGCACCAGCTTGGATGCCTGCCACCTTTGCCTTGCATTCCTATTATTGGTGTGTTTTCCTTCCTTCTAGACCGGGTCCTCTTGAAGGCAGAGTGAGTGTCCAGTTCCCCTTGGTCCCTCTGGCTGGTTCAGGACTTGGCATCCAGTAGAAGCTCAACAGATGTTACCATGGGAACCGTGAGCCCATCTTCTCCCACTCAAGGGACCAGGGCCATCTCTGCCCCTTTCTGAGCTTTATGACTTCGGGCAGGTCACTTAGCTTTCTGAGCATCCATTTTGTTTGCTTCTTGACTCTTCTACTTCCCTCAAAAAGGCTATGGGGGTCAGAGAGGATACGAGAGCCCTGCTGGGAAGGGGGACATGCTCTCCCTGCGTCCGACAGAATTATCCCAAGGGGGCTGCACCTGTGGTGTCGGTAAGGAGGTCACCTGGAAGAGAGGTGGGCACTGGGCCACACCTACCCGAGTCCCCCGAGTTTTCACATAATAACGGCTGATATTTTCGGGGCCTGTTCTGTGGACCAGACATTGCACTAAGTGCCTCACCTGGATTATCTCTCTTGGTCCCCTCAGCGACCATCCTCAGCTTTGCAGATGAGGAACCCAAAGCGCAGAGCCCAAGGCCACACAGTTGGCAAGTGGTGGGGCTGGGACTGGGAGCTCTTAGCCACGGAGCCACGCCCTGCCCTGAGCAGATGCGGGGCAGGGACAGGCAGTCAGCGACCTCGTTGTCACTATATAGGAACCTCTGAGGACCAGACATCCTTGCTTCCTGTCTTCTCTTTTCTAGATTTGTGTGCTGAGACCAGAAAGGAACACTGTCTCTCCATCTCTGTCTTTCTCTCTCACACACACTGGGGCACGTGGGGCCTCGTTCACACCAGCCAACCTCCCATCTTGATGGAGCTCATTTCCTCAACTCGGGGTTCTTGGGAGTAGGGTGAAAGGAAGTATACCTCAGAGGTTCGAAATGATGCCCACCCACCAGCCCAGACCTTGGGCACCAGCAGGCTCCTCCTCCCCAGCACGCAGGCCCTTATCAGGAAAGCAATTTGGGTTGGTGAGGAGGGGGAAGTCCGAGGCCCCAGGCTCCGGCAAGGTGGGTAGGAGAGATAGGGAAGTGGGGAGGGGGCCGTGGGGCCCGGCTGGGAGGGCCCGCGGATGGAAGAAATGCCCAGAGCCAGTGCTGTCCTTGCTGGCCTGGCCTCTTGACATGGTTCCAGAGCTGTTCCTGCCTTCCCTCCTTGCCGGGCAAGCCGCCCGCACCTTTAATTAGCAAGCAGCAACCTTGCCCCGATTCAGCACAGTCGCTGTTTAATTAGCCGCGCACAAGGCGCCCCTACCCCCAGCTCTGGGTGGAGCAGCCTGCCTTTCTCACGGAGGCTGCCACCACTTCATGGTGTCCCCTGTCACACGCCCCCCCCCCCCACTTATTCTGCTCCCCAGAAGGGGGGATGGGGCGGGCACGCCTGGCTGAAACCTCAAGGAGATTCTGGGCACTGCCGCTTGTATTCAAAGCATCCAGCAAACATTATTAGGGCTTGGAGTCTGCGCCTGGCTGGCGCTGGGCGGAACCCAGGCTGCATGGGGGCGGCGGCCTCGGTCCTGCCCACCGGCTCCAAAACGGCTTTTCCCTTTGGGAGGTGCCCAACACCTCTCCAGCTGGTCCCAGGGTGTTGGGAAAAGCCTAATAATCCTCCCTGTTGCTCCGTTCTCCCCGCCCCCATCCAGACAGGGATGACCATTTCTTCCTTTCCGTCCCTGTCCCAGAGCGCAGCTAGCCCCCACCCCAGAAGGCGACCTCCTCGAGGATGGAGAGGACCCTCCTCCACCCCTGCCTCCCCAGGGGTCAGATCATGGAGGCCCAGGCTAAGGCTATGGGCAAAGGGAGGTGGTGGGGCATCTCAGCGCCCCTCTGGGAAGTGGGGGTGCACAGCAGAGAGCCCACAGACTGGAGCCGAACCGGCTGCCCTCTGCTTCCCAGCAGCAGGGTGGGGCCGGTGGTGGCCCTGGGAGCGGTGCCTCACACCCTTCCGGGCAGAGCCGGGGAGTCACCGCCTCAGGGCAGCCAGCTGGAGGCAGGAGGCTCAGGTTCCATCCCAGCCCTGCACCCCAGTCGGTCCTGTGGCTTCAGGTAAATCAGCTGCCCTGGGGCCTCAGTGTCCTGCCCACAGAAGGGTGCTGGCCCCCTGGCTCTGGTGTGGACTAAGGACACGGAAGGACTGGCCTTTATTCTGGTATGGAGGGAAGCCCTGGAGTCCGTCCACTCTGGTACTAACCATCTGTGTGGCCTCGGCCTGCCACCAAACTGTGCTGTGCCTCAGTTTCCCCATAATTAGTAGCTGCCTCTTGGGCTGTCCTGAGGATTAAATGATTTACAATGTTTAGCGCACTCAGAACAGTGCATGACGGAGGGAGTCCTTAGTAATCATTGGCTGCTTTTGCCAATATTTCCCCTCCTTTTACCGATCAATATTTATTGCCAGGTAGGAGGGACTTGGTGAGTAAGTATGGCAACCTCTCTGCTTCTCAGAGTTTTCCTTCCAGTGGGGGAGGCAGTTGAAAACAAGTAAATAAATAAAGGAAAGTACAATTTTATCTGAACAAAGTCTGCAGTTTAGTTAATGGTGATGTGCCAGGGTTAATTTCTTAGTTTTGACACATGTACCATGGTCAGGTTAGGTGACGATGTGACATGAAGAAGACTGGATGAAGTGTATATGGGAACCCTCTGTACTGTTTTTGCAATTTTTCTGTGAATCTAAAACTCCCCCCAAAAAAGTTTATTTAAAAAACACAATTTCAGGGGCGCCTGAGTGGCTCAGTCAGTGAAGCATCTGCCTTAGCTGAGGTCATAATCCTGGGGTCCTAGGACCGAGCCCTGCGTCAGGCTCTTTGCTCAGCTGGGGAGCCTGCTTCTCCCTCTCCCTCTCTCGCTCCCCCTGCTCGTGCTCTCTTGTGTTTTCTCTCTCTCCCTGTCAAATAAATAAATAAAACCTTTAAAAAAATTCTCAATTTCAGGTAATGGTAAGTACAATGCAGAAAACAAACAGGGGGGGCCACTTTAGACGGGGTGGTCTAGGAGGGCCTCTGTGAGGAGCTGACACTTGGGAGAAACTGAGTGATGGGAAGAAGCCAACGTCAGGGAGATGAGGGAAGGGACCGGCAAGTACAAAGGCCGGGAGGCGTGTTGCCCTGGGAGGTTTGCAGTCCACCTGCAGGGTGGGAGAGGCTCGTGGGGCAGATGAGCTCAGAGGAAGAGGCAGCTTCCCTTCAACATCATTTTGCCCTTTCAGAGGACAGGAAGCAGGGATTTGTACCTAGCACTCTAATACCTCATTTTTTTAAAAAAGACTTTTTTTTTTAAAGATTTTTATTTATTTGAGAGAGAGAGAATGAGAGATAGAGAGCACGAGAGGGAAGAGGGTCAGAGGGAGAAGCAGACTTCCCGCCGAGC